AATCTGATGAAAATAGCGCGCAGCACGCTATATAGCTCACCTACGTGCGCTTTGGGGGCGGTGCTAAGCGCTATTTGGCCAATGAATTGGCGTGATGGTATAAGGGCTTCAGACATTCGTCACACCGAAGTTGTTCCCGAAGCGATGACGTCATCGCAGCATCGAAGTGAGCCTATGAGAGGGAACATCTCGGTTACGTATGTAACCTTGGTTCCCTGAGTAGGGGAACGAGATGCTGCGATGCTCGGCCGTTCCGTACCTTGATAGCGCTTCCTTTGTAAATCAGTGAAATCTGATGAAAATAGCGCGCAGCACGCTATATAGCTCACCTACGTGCGCTTTGGGGGCGGTGCTAAGCGCTATTTGGCCAATGAATTGGCGTGATGGTATAAGGGCTTCAGACATTCGTCACACCGAAGGTGTTCCCAAAGCGATGACGTCATCGCAGCATCTCGTTCCCCTACTCAGGGAACCAAGGTTACATACGTAACCGAGATGATTCGCTGTCCACACGAAAACGCAAGGGTGGCGTTTTCAGATTTATCCACTCTGGTACCCGGTTTCAAAAAATATCGGTTTCACTTTCCCAAAACGCCGGATCCGTGAGGACGAAACGCCTATATGATACAAAATGTATGCGTATACATTACAGCTAAACGCATCTCCGTGTGGACGGGGCCTAAGTTGCTGGCTGCAGTTCACTTAACGGCCACTGGTGGAAGTTTTTCTGAATTCTACGTACATACAGCCTCTTGACTGTTAAAAACCATTACACCATGAAAAGGACACTAGAGCTGTTACACACTGCAATTTGCAACTAAACATTATGTATTTGATCATGATAACTGTCTTGAGGTTAAAATCAGAGCAGTGCTTCAGGATCCAGACTTTACATTGGACATCAAGTACTGACCACCGTAGCAAAACTGTTGCTATACTAATTGTGGTGTTGCATTTTATTATTTGCATTGAGCACTGACCCATTTTTGGGCCATGAAACTGTCTCCGAAATGTTTTTGAATTGGTTTTCTCCATCTAAATCCTCTGAGGGCTTTTTAGGCAGCACCATGACCCATTCTCCTGTGAAGTATGCGTAGAATACTCAGAGTAGCATTGAGCATACGGTCATGCTGGAAGATCATTTTATAGAATGCATCTATGGGTAGTTGCCCTGTAGGGTCAGCATGCTTCATGGCAGTCAGTGGCACGTACAAACGATTGGTCTGATGACGAAATGGAGGGTTCTTGGACACAATCAGCTAACGTCATCCTGTGGGATTTGTATAAAATCCATTCTTACAATGCATGAATGTTTATGCATCATTAACATACTGTACATAGTTAATAGTTTCAAAATAACTACAGTTTCAAAAAAGACAAAGGTATTTAGACACTTTGTGGTTGTCGCATGTTAATAGTTGTCGCATGTTTACCCTTGTGAAAAAGAAGTACACTATAGCATACTTTTAAAAAGAGTCATTATGAAAATAATATGCTTAAAATACACACAAATGTGAATTGAATGTAATGTTTTAGGACACTTGACATTGCAATTTATTACAATGAAAAATATAAACTTTACATGTAATCTCAAATGATACTCTAGTTAAATGTTTAATCAGTACTTTACATGTGTAGACTAACAGACTAAAGCACATCAAAATAAATGTAATTCTTTGAAGCATGACAAAAGACTAAAGTAATACTTTTAGTTTGACATTATTACAAGGTGCCAATTTTAAGTGCACTAAAGTGTGTTAAGAAACATAGTCATGAAAGTGTATTCTTTTTAAGTACACTTAAGTGGCCTTTTATTTCATTAATATTATTTTACCTGCAAGTACAGTTTATAAAAAAAATACACTTTTAAGATTTTAGACTAGAATGGAACATCCACTAAAAATCACTTTGGGACCACATGATTAAAAGTGAATTTTACCTCCGAGCATATTTAGTTAACCTAGCCCTTTTTATTAGTTTGCTATAGAATTCGTTTTATTGTGTACTCACTTGACATTAAACTTCATAGCTTGCACAGCAAGACTCTCACAAAACCCCTCTACAGCAAATTTAGAGGCCGCATATACATCATTGAAAAGTAGTCCTGAAAAAAAAAAAAAAAAAAAGAGAACTCTAAAAAAAACTTGACATTAAACTTCATAGCTTGCACAGCAAGACTCTCACAAAACCCCTCTACAGCAAATTTAGAGGCAGCATATACATCATTGAAAAGTAGTCCTGAAAAAAAAAAAAAAAAAGAGTACTCTAAAAATATATTTTTTAAACAGTAATTGTATGATTATTTTAGTTGAATGTGTACAGCTTATAATAAATGAGCTTTGTGGTATTACCCTGGAAGCCCAGGACACTGCTCATCACTACGATGTGTCCACTCTGACGCTGCTTCATGTCAGGCAGCAGTTCCTTCACCAGTCTCACCAGGCCAAAGAAGTTAGTGCTGAAGAGTTCCTGCATATCACTTACACTCTGACACTCCAAAGAACCAATCATACCCACACCGGCATTATTCACTACAAAAAATTATTCACATTATTCACTAAATCAGGGGTGCCCAAAATCGGTCCTGGAGGGCCGGTGTCCTGTGGAGTTTAGCTCCAACTTGCCTCAGCACACCTGCCGGGAAGTTTCTAGTATGCCTAGTAAAAGCTTTATTAGATTAGCTGGCTCAGGTGTGTTTAATAGGGGTTGGAGTCAAACTCTGCAGGACACCAGCCCTCCGGTTTGGGCACCCCTGGTCTAAATCAAACAGGATTTGGGTGAACATTCTGTAGCATTTTGCAGAGTCTAAATGCAAAAACTAAATTCTGTCATCAACCTGTATGATTTTTTTTTCTGTGGAAAATAAAAGAAGATATTTTGAAAAATGTATGTTTTTTTGTCCATTCAGTGGATGTTAATTGAAATCAAAACTGTTTTGTTACCAACATTCTTCAAAATATCTTTTGAGTTTTGCAGAACAAAAATAAATCATATAGATTTGTAACAACATGAGGGGGAGTAAACAATGACAGAATTTTCAATTTTGGATGAACTATCCCTTTAAAACATAGGTTCAGTATCCTGCCACCATTAGCAGTGAGAAGGTTACACGTGAGAAAACAGAGAGATATCATTGTAATTTTAATTTATTTTAGAAACATTAAAGTCAGCGGCAAATCTAGTACAAAAAAAATTGGTTTTGGTAAATAAATAAATGTATTGCTGATACAAGTGATGCAAATTTGAGCATCGAGTTTATCTGATGAACTCTGTGTGGTAACACAAATGTGGAATAAAAACTTAAAAGATAAGCAGATAACAATTTTTGTTGAAAAGCTTTTAGTCAAGTCAAAAGACACTCAACTTTTGGTCATGTCGTTATGAAGCCGCATTGCTCAGGAACTAAGATGGAGCGAATGAAGGAAATATTTGTTGGCAAGGAAACTCTCAGTGTCACCTAACACATCCACTCGTCGATCTGACAAGCTGTTGACACACTCTCTGATGGAGTCCTCACAGGTGGCATCCAGCTGTCGGATCTCCAGGGATCTGTTGAGGGTTTCTCCAGCTGCTTTCTCCAGAGCTTCTCTCCTATCCAGGTCCCTCATAGTGGCCACAACTAACTCGAGCACAATCAACAGTAAGACTTAAAATAACATTTAAAACATTACTATGTCATATACTACACTTACCTGATTATTAGCTAATGTACATTCTGTAAGACATTAGAATATTGTTCCATTTCTAATCGATAACTACACAATACAACATTAACATTCTAGTAGCTACTACAAAATCAAACTTCGATTTACAAATTAGTAAGTAATAGCACTCAGTTGAATGCATTAGTTCACTGTTAGCTAATCGGTAACTACTATTTTTTTCATACCTCCCAAAGAACTACTAAGAAATTACATTTAGATTCATAATTAATGTAAATAATGTAGAATGCATAATTCTGAAGTGAAAATCCCGTTAAACCCACTAGTGAAAATATGACTCCCTGGTGATGACTGAAATCGTTGTAAGCTTTTGAGGTTTTTGTAAGATTTTGGATAGTTTATCCTTCAGATTTGGTAACACTCAGTCATTACTAGTGGGTTACCATCATTCTTACAATAGGTATTAATGAAAACCCAATCAACATTCATAATGATTAGGAGAGATATCTGAAACAAAAAAAGATATACATAGAACCAAATCTTTCTGTGAGGTATGTTAAACAAATTATTTCATAGCTTACTTTTTTTTTTTTAAGCATTTGGTGTATGGCTGATAAAATGTTCCAGTAGTCTCCATGATATAGTCTTAAGTTCAGAGGGATGCCAGAAAAACTGCAATTTAATATCAATTTCTTTAAAATTGTCCATAGTCAGTTATTATGTTAAAATGTACTAATTATTAACATATTATTATCTATTGATTCTGTAAGTGGTTAAATGTTAAAGTAGATGATCAAATCAAAATTAAAATCAAAATAATTTGTCATGTTATAATTATTGATTAGTTTCACATTAATTATGAAACTGTATGTAGCCTCTGGGAGGCATGAAAAAAAATCGAAGTTACTGATTTGCTAATAGTGAACTACCACATATTACTAATGCATTAATCAGTTTGATGTTAATTAATACTAGTTACTGCAATGTTAATATTGCACTACTAGTGTCCTTTTCATGTTGCATTAGTTCCTGTGTTAGTTATTCATTTTTAAAGGAAAAGTTTTCGAAAGTGTTCCTTTGTAATGTTATGAAACTATATATATATATATATATATATATATATATATATATATATATATATATATATATGTATGTATGTATATACAATTCTAAGAGGCTTTTTACATTCATATGCAGTCTTCTTACCTTTGAATCGCCTTAATTCATCTTTTGCAAGACGGACAGCCACCGCCAAACCAATTCCAGAGGAGCATCCTGTCACCAAAACTTTTCGTGCCCCCATAACTTTCATTCAACGATGATTTCTAATCTAAAACCACAATAAAACCATTAAACTTAAGTAACACTATATTTGCCAACGCTATATATGGTCAGTGTTCTGTTCAGAATCACAACCATGTTATGACCATCTTCTTTTGGTAATATGTTATCTCAATAATATGCAATCTCAGTTTTGCGCATATGTAAATATATTACAACACATAGCCTATGTAAATATAATTAATAACAGCAACAATGCTAAGTACATTTGCAAGCTCTACAAAATGCAAAAGTCAGTAACTACACTGCAAGAAGATCATTGAATTTAAGTTTCACATTTTCGTGCTAGGTGAACATTTAACGGGACAAATAAATGTACAGAGAACGCTGAAAGGTTTCTGGACTACGGATTAAATCTTAATCAGATTTTCTCAGCACGGGAGCGCGTCTTAACTGGTCAGTTGCAATGCACTAAAACTGTGATCAATTTCACATCTAAAACCGCATGACAAGTGTTGTTTCATAAAGGTCGTCACGTTTTAATATTAAGCATTCAAAATGACAGGGACGACAGTTGCACTGCGTGAAAAAACAAAACATGAGATACAAAAGCATATAATGTTTAGCATAAGATTAAACATGTTTCAAGTGTTCTGGGACATGCACTTACTGAAAGCAACTAAACCGTCCGTTCTGCAGCGTGTACAGACCTGTATCCTGTTGACAGACCTCGATTTTATCATCCATAAACTCCTTTCAGCCGGAACGCGTGAGCTCTGCACGAGAGCGGCACTGTGAAAACAAATCGCGTTGCAGAGGTTGCGTTTGCGTTCAGAGAACCCTGGGATTTGAAGTCTTTGACTGCATAATAATAATAATAATAATAATAATAATAATAACAACAATTATTATTACTATCTAGGCCTATATAATTATAAAAAATATAATTATATATAAAAAATATATGTCCTAAATTGTTTAGAAGAGGTTTAATGTTTTGCTGATGCTTGACGGTTGAAATTAGGCTATAGTTGAAATGTTACTGGGAAGCCTATGTTTACTGAAAATTACATTTGGAAATCATATGAAAAGAAAATTATTTCAGCTACTATAAACGCGTATTCTGAAATGTTTTTGTTTTTTAGTCATGAACAAATTGGTGTTGTGAACGAATTTGGTCTAAATCGTTCTTAATCACTTCTATCATGCACTAAACTCGAGGCGGGCATATGGGACATGCTTGTTTATCATGCGAGTCAACCAGGGGTCAGTTGCATAAACTTATTTAGATAAGTAGTCTTAATGTTTGACTAACTAGCAGTTAACCAAGTGGTAATCAGTCTTACTTTTCAGATTCAAATTAGACCAATATATAGGCTACCATTGTATGTAACTGAATTTAAAAAAGTTATGACCAGCCTTGAAGAAAAAAACTGGATGACTAACTTTTAAGACTAGTCTAAGTTTATGCAACTGATGCCCATACAGAATCAAAATGACGCAGTGACGTTATACTGAAACGCGTAATTTATTTAGTGAACTACTGAACAAATCTGAATGATTCTTTTTAGTGAACCGATTCAGGAGATTCGAATTAGTCGATGAATCCAAATCCTCACTACAAATTTGCATGAACAGTCAAGACTGCTCTTATTTTGTGCTCGATTTACAGCTGTATTGTGGCGACCTCTAGTGGTTATGTTGTGGTATTTTTGATCAAACTGAAAGTGATATCACACTGACATTCTGAAAAGCGCTAAAGGAAACGGTGCCACTGTATAAAAGGTTTTTAGCACTGTCGTTACAGGTACTAAAACAACACCGAACGACAGAGATATGAGCCGAATGCGTGAAGAAGTGGAGGTATAGTATTTGTGATTCGTATAAACATAGTTAAATGGCGTATGATATTTTATTGGAGACAATATGAGAGGCACGCTATTAAAGGAAGTATACTGCAGTAACTTCCTCAACAGTCATAGTGCATATTGTACGTAGTTAAAAACGGATTGATGTTTTCCTGCATGAAAGAATCAACTTCGTATTAATTTTAAGGGCCACACACGAGTCTCACTCAGTTTTATACTACGTGGTTGTTCTTTCAAATAAAGATAAATAAACGTAAATGTGTTTTTTGCTCTCTCTTGACTTAGTTGGAAAAAAGTGTCAGGCGACTGAGAGAGAGGTTTCATGGACTTGTTGAAATTGACAAGGCTGTATTGCTCATGCGACGCTATGGAAACAACCATCGTATGGTTGCAATGTGTGTCGCCCTGATGGCAGATAATGAGAGGGGTAAAGTGCAAACCTTTTCTCCTACGAACTCTCATACGTGTATTGTTTGCTGTTACTCACTCTACTATTTATGCTATTTCTATTTATTTCTTTTATATATATATATCTTTAATATGTGCTTTTTGTGTGTTTGTATCGACTGCACATCTTATTTATTTGTGTTTTTTCGTATGTAGAGCTGGACGAGGAAGACATGTCAGCTTTGAATAATGACCCTGTAGCTAAGGTATGGTGCAGGTTGACTTTATTCAGTTTATGTAAATTTATGGAAAGAGCTTGTAGGTTTATTTTGTAGCAAAAAATTATTGGGACAGGTAAGGCACATTTAAAATATATATGAATGACATTGCACTAGATTACAAAATAACAGGGATTTAGCATTTGAAGAAAGGCATTTGTTATCTAATGCAATGAAATTAAGTGTGCTTATACTTAAGTGCCCATTACTGGGGTCACTGTATAACTGTGTGTTACTCATTAACACATTTTCTGCACTCATATAGAACGTGGTTATGAAACTCAAAGCTGATGAAAAACAACAGGTAACATCCCAACCATCCGCTAACAACCTGTAAACATGATTTGTTGTGTTACATGATTTCTGAAAATGAAAGTACCAGATACTGCTGTTTACTTTACAGTTTTTAGTTGTATAATGGTGATAGTCATCAAAAATTTATAGGAAGAAAAACCCGCCAAGTCATCTGGATCCAGTGGTGCCAGTCAATCAGCACAAGTAAGAAGGAGTTTCCCTATTTGGGTGTGAATTTACAGGATAAATAAAACATCATGTTACACTGTAGTCTTATTGCATCACTCCTGTCCCACTTCAGGCACCGGCCAAGAAAAAACCCAATGATGACACTGATATAGCGGTTAGTTGCTTTGCAATGTTTGCTTGAACAATTAATTGTACCAAGGTTAATACTAAAGAACTGTATGTGTACTGTAAGCAGTGTGAACTAACATGCACAGACATGCTTACAGGAGCTCGGGGCGCGTCTACGAGTTCTGCCGTTAACAGAGGAGAACAAACGAATGTTTGACCAGGCTCAGGCAAACCAGATGCCTTCTGTCATTCATCAGTTCGCCTGTGAGTCATGTGACAGGGACTGGTGGCGACGTGTACCTCAGAGGAAAAGGGTATGACGTCTGACCACACCTTACAAGCTCAAATCACATTTGCTCTGTGCTTTCCCAAAGTTGACCATTCATCTGTGTGCACATGGCTTGTTATAGGTGTCACGTTGTCACCGATGCAAAAAGAAGTATGACCCTGTGCCAGCCAACAAAATGTGGGGTATAGCGGAGTTTAACTGTCCAAACTGCTTACGGACCTTCAAGTAAGACATTAACTTTTTTTGCATGCTGTACTGTATATTGCTGTTCTTCAGTTTTAAATGACAGTCATGGCATTGTTTTGTTTTTTTCTTCTGCATGACAAGGAGTTTTGTATTAACATTTTGTGTTTCTGTTAGGGGTTTTGGTCGAATGGATGGACGTTCCCCTTGTTACGGCTGTCGCTCAGCCATTTTCCCCACAAAGATTATACCACCCAAGAAGAGAAGCATGATGCCTGGGCCTAGAAGAAGAAATCAGCACAGCTGTCTTGCTGAAGACTGTTATAATCGAATGGGTAATTTGATGCTTTTTGACACAATGACCACTAGAGGTCTTGCTCAATCTCAAGGTGTCACAGTAGGCTTTAATTATATACAGTCTTCAGACCACCAAAATGAATCAATAAAGGTAATGTTAAAATATATTAACTTACTGCAACGCTGCAAACCACTGTATTCTTTGTATTGAGCCATAAGATCAAGATGTGATGTCTAGATCCTCTAATGGCCTGCAAACTGTAGTGAGACTACAATTCGTTAATACAATTTTAACGTTCTTTTTTTTTTTTCATTTTCAACAGCATGAAATCTAAATTTGCTCTGCTTTAAATGAGGACTTTGACTTTATTTTTGACTGATGTCACCTAAGCTGTGCAAGTTATTGGTAAATAATAGCCAAATAATAATTTAGGCACTGTGTTAGCACAGTAATTTAATGGTAGTTAACATTTTACATTCTAAATTTTACAGAAATAATAGCAAATAGACTTGAAAACGAGCTTTAGGAGGGTTCTGCTTTCAGGTCCCATTCTAGTATAGATCACCATTCTGATGGATATAATCATAACCATTAATTTTTTCCCAGTAAATATCCAGCATCATTGGGAAATACAGTGGGGTGTAAAAGTCTGAGACCACTAGTGTAAATGCTTCTGTTTTGAAATTTTCTCATTTAAAACAATAATTTCATTACAAATTATATTAGAGGAATAGTTTACCCAAAAATGAAAATTTGTGGAAAACTTACTCACCCTCAGGCCATCCAGGATATATACGAGTTTGTTTCTGCATCGGAACAGATTTGGAGAAATGTAGCATTACATCACTTGCTCTCCAATGGATCCTCTGCAGTGAATGGGTGCCGTCAGAGTTTAGCGTCCAAACAACTGATAAAAACATCACAATAATCCACAAGTAATCCAAATCTTAAATTCCATATTTTGGAATTCTGCAAACACAGATGTTCTCAGATTTCTGGACCCCACTGTGTGTCTCAGTACAGAAGTAAAAATGGGCTGTGAATGCTATTTCATGTCGATTTAACATTTTTAAAGCAGAACTGCATGAATATAAACATCTGCATGTTTGTCTTACCTAGAGCCCCATGTACCTGGTACCGAATGCGTTCACCCACATAGCAGACAGAAGAACAGGAAGCCACGTGTGGTTTACCCCAGCCCCGCTCACATCAGCAGCGGATCCACTGTCAACACCTGTCTGAGTCAGGGTAGTCTGATAGAAAGCATCAATGAGCTCATTCTAGATGACATTGAAGAAGAGTCTGATGAAGATTCTGACAGCAGCACCTGAGGCGGCAGCAAAAATCAGTTAAACGACTGACATCACTTCAGGTGTTGCTTTGAATGAACCATGATATAATTTTTGATGTAATTTCAAATAATTCACTCAAAGTAACAAATGTATTGAGGCGTATGCAGCCTGAATGAAATATGTAATGCACTGCAGGCTGTATGAACTCAGTGCAACACACACCAAACACAGAATCCAGATAAGGAATGATTGTCCATTGAATTATGGATCAATTAGTGCACACCCTGAGGTGGTAATGCTGCGGTGTGTGTATGAGAGAGTGAGCATTTGTGGTTCTCAGCCATACAAAAGATTTACTGAAGTGATATGAAACTATAATGCTGTCAACAAACCTGGAAATACTTAAAGCTGCAGTCCGTAAGTTTTGCCTCTTTGTCGCCATCTCTGTTTGAAAACCTGCAACAATATAATTTAATTTCATTCATATGTGTAAACCTTTCTGGATTACAATCCGCCATCAAAATTATACATTTAATTAATGTTTTGAGGAGTATGTGTGGCTATCAGTCACCGCACCAGGCAGTGTGGATTATTTACTGTACTTCCCAATCACAGATTCTAGCCTACGTCTTGGAATATATGACTCAAATAAGAATTTTCACTGTATATTGTCATCTGAACAAGTAAGTAACAAGTCTGCCACATTTGTTCTGACCAGCTGAGGAAAAAAGCATTACAATAAATCGCGCTACCAAAGGCGATGTAATCTAACGATCGAGGATCCTCACATGCGATCGCCTAGTAGCCGGGACAACTTCTTTATGTTTACAGACGTGACGTAATGCAAGTAAGGCAGCATGCTTGAATTTCCCACGAAAACCTACCCGTACCACTCAAATTAGAAAACATTATTATAAGCTAACCGTTGTGAATCGGGCTAAAGTAAGGCGATAGTTTTGAACACTGGCTGGTTATGTACCTGCTCAAATATTGATTTCGGATCATTTTTAACCAAAAAAAAGTTACGGACTGCAGCTTTAATAGTTGGAATGACTGTCAACCAAGCATCCAGCAGCACTGTGATATAAGGTTTATTACAGAGCTGATGTGAACAGACAAGTCCAGATTTAGTTTTTAATGTCACTTATTCTCTACGCTTGATAATTCCTTTCCTTCTTCTCTGAATTATGGTATATTATTGGTACATTTATTCGCATATTTAAATTATATTTCCCACTCACATTATCACATAATGGTCATTTTTTGTCATTGTTATGGTCTTATCAATAGATTCATAAGCCACACACAAATAATCATCTGTAACACTTTACAATAAGGGTTAATTTGATGACAATAGTTAACTACATTACTTACTATGAATTAACAATGAACAATACTTCTAAAGCAAATATTGATCTTAATTACGTTTAATCTCAGCATTTATACAGGTTTAAATTCAGAAGTTCTATCTGTTAACATTACTTAATGCACTGTGATCTAAAAGATTAAAATAACATTTTATTAACATTAACATTAGCAAAGGATTGTAAATTATGTAAAAATATACTGTTTCATTGTTACTTAATGTTACTTAATGCATTGACTAATGTTAACAAAGAAGACCTTATTGTAAAGTGTTTCGTATAGTCTTCAAATTACACATGACACCAAAGAACAGAGTATTCCAACTATTCAGTTTGATTTTTCAACTATCAAATGTCCTAGTTGTTGTTTTCCTGGGTTTACATTTCTATATAAACCTCCTTTTTGTCTGAGATAATACTTCACACACAACATAGACAAGCACTTAAGACAAAAATGCAGACCACTCCTAATGAATAAAACAGACTTGCTGTTATGTCAGCCTTACAAAACAAGCTGTCATACACACATATGGCAAACACATGGCGAACTCTAATTTTCCCAAAACTTCAGGGATATGTGCAGAGGAAATTATGCCCAAAGACAAACAATGTGTTTAACCTACTATTAATGTGTCAAAATAAAAATGATCTGGAATAAACGTGGGTTTGAGCGCAGATTAATTTGTCTTTGCAATTATATCAGAATTTTACTTAATATTGTCTTTGCATAATTACATTGACAAATAATCATATCAGATGTCGAGAGAACCTTTTGATGTATGATGAACTGTACAATGCATGAAACAAGACACCCAGCTACACCCAACACTTGTACAACCATTACAAAACCCTAAACAAAAGATACCAGATAGCACCAATATTGAACAGAAGACAAAGAATCATACTTTAACAACTAAACCTTTGTATATAGCCTGAATGAAACATGAACAACTAAGAGATCTATACATGACCAATAAAGGAAAACACACAATTTTTTGCTTAACCCAAAGAACAAAGTAGTTATAGTTTGTAAAAGTAAAATGATATGGCTGAAATTTGACACTCCAACACAGAACTAAAGTTCAAGACTCTAAATTTTTGGGTACACTATAATCACTTGGTCGAATTTTACATTTCAAACTATGCGTCCATAAATAATTATTTATTTAAAAAAATACTATCATGATAAATTGGATGTCCATGAAGAGAAAACCAAAATGGCTAAATATTTGCATTTATTGAACTCTTTATATGGGCCTACAACTTCAGTCCATTTATCAAAGTTTTAGTTGGTCACCTGTAAAAATATTCCTCTTCTAAGCAATTTTGACATTTAGCCTACTTAAAACATCTGGACGACTGTCAAGCTGTGGTCAGCCTGTGATCAAAGGTTATGTTTGCTTATTTTACATAAATGCAATGTCACTGACAGCCTGCCCATATTGAGCTAATGTCTGACATAAAGATACAGTTTGGCTTTACAATGAAATCCCAAAGTTATTATGTTACAAACTTATGAGACCCTCCCCATCTAGCCTTAAAAGACACCTTTTTGTTTTCCAAGTACATGATCACAAATGACCCACTGCATAAAAGTGCTGAACTGCCATTAAATGTGCTGTACATATAACAATCAAATAATCAATTCAAAAGAACTTTCAAACACGACCGTTTAAAAAAAAAAATCAAATACTGTCCCTAGTGGATGAGATACCTTCTCTTACTTAACATGCTTACATGACTACAGGGTTGGGGCGTGTCTTGAGGGAACAGATTTAATAACATTGCGTGTATAAATAGCTTGCAGGCACACATGTGCATTCTTCCTCTCTGCACAGCCTCAAGCTACAACATGTAAGCTCTGAAACTTTTACTTTTGTAGTGCTGTATAAACTGCAGTAGCACCATAAAAATTACTTCAAGTTGCTGCTGGAGTTCCCTAAAGGTAACCTCGTTCTTTCTTTTTTGTTTTAAATGTTTTAAAGGATTTGCCTGACAGGAGTGATTGTGCTGCTCTTTGCAGTGACTGTTGATGGAAGAGTTGGGTGAGAATCATTTTTGCTTCCCTTGCAGCAGTAAAATATCCGCACAACAAAGACTATAATCTATATATGTCCATTGCTGTGTCATGTTTAATGTATTGTGTTTGCATCTCTCAGGGACTCCAGTGAATCCAGTTACTGCACAGAGACAAAGGAATGTTTTCTGTTCGACTTGGTTTGTGCAGGAAAAGATTATGAGGTGAGATTCAAGATGTACATAAAGAAACTGAATACATAAAAAGACAAGCTCAAACACATCAACCTGGGGCCGGACTCACGAAACATGCTAAAAAAAAAAAAAGTCTTCTTAACTGCCATTTTCTTCTTATTTTTTTACCTAAGAAAAAAAAAAGAATATTTTGAATTCCCAAAAATTCTTCTTAAGAATGGTCTTATCTTTTTTTTCTTAAGATTGTTCTTAAGACAAAACTTAAGAAGAATTTAAATTCTTGAAAATCTAATTAAAAATAATCTTAAATAACTTCATAAAGTTTGGATAGCCCCAGACTTGTCTTAAATCTCAAATAATAGGCCTAATTAATGATTTAATGAGCTTATTGGGTTATTTCAAATTAATTGTTATATTTAAGCATTACAAAAACACTAGCTACATATAATACATAGTAGGACTATTAATAGGGATGTGCACGAGTTTCCTGAAGTGAGAGCAATGACTGATAATGTAAATAATGACAAGCCATGATTACATGTAACGCGACTTTTTGCTTCGAAATCAGTTACAACTCTACAAAAACGAGTCAGATGGGGAGCTCGTTTTTAATTTTAGCCTATAAATACGACATCATCTTTGGCAGTAATCAGTGCATATCCACAGGACGCGTTTACTGTAGCTGCGTGCACACACATACCGGAGGCGTTCACTCGGAAGAGAGCGCAAAAAAGAAACAGCACAAAAATGAATGAAACAGATCGCTGCAGCTTGAGACAGGCTTTTTAAAACTGTTCAAAAAATACGCGAAGCCGAGCGCCAGTCTGCGCGCTTATTATGATCATTAGGGTAATCTGCAGGAAGCGCAAAAAAACAATCATTGAAGCGTGTTTCAGTGCGTTTTCAGCCGTGTATTCAGTCAGATAAAGACTGTCATTTTCTTCTAAAGAAAAAAAAAAAAAGATGCTCTTAACTTAAGAACATATTTGAGAGCTTAAGAATTTTGCAAGAATTGCACTTAAGAACATTCTTAAGAACTTAAGAAATGTATCTTAAGAAATATCATGGTAATGAGATGAAGTGCTCTTTTCCTACAGGTACGCCACTATGATGCTGCCAAGTGGGTGACCACAGAAGCTGAATCCTATTTCTTGGAAATTGCAACTGTAAGAGCATTCAGGAAACTTTATAAATACATCACTGGAGAAAATGAGGCTGGTGAGTTTGTTTGTGGGTCAGATTTTGCCTACATTGTACCGCCGCTCCCTATACGCAGAGTACGCAGTTTGCGTAGGGCACCAACTCCCAGGGGGGCACCATCCCAGTTGACGCTTTGAATGTGCGCGTACAATGAATGACATCGCGTCGGGAGCTGACTAGCAAAATAGCTACAAAGTAAAAGCAAAGAAGTATATATTCCAAGTCAAAAAGTAAGCACACTAGAACATTTTTTAATGTTTAAAAAAAAAACTCAGATGTGTTTATCTTCTAAATTCTGCTGATGATTATTGCTCTAACAAAACACTTAATTTCAGTTTCAACTTCTTTCCGTCTCTTTCACTTCCGTTTTAGTGATTTGTGTATAGCCTATAGTGCATATTTAGGGTAACAATGCAATACATAATATCATAGTATTATTATTAATAATATGACATATCTGTAGTCAATATTGAGGGGGAAATCCTGCCCATACACAGCTAGGGAAAAAATTATAAAAGCACTGATGTTCATTTCATTTAGGCTACTGAAGTGGTAGCCATTTCTCTAAAAGAGCTTCACGGGTGGATTTGTGTGTGTTTACAACATTCCTTTCTATCCGTGTCCTTCTGGTTGCGGTTTGTGCATCTCACCCTCTGACAGGT